GTATTTTCAAGAGAACATAGACGAGAAACCTTTGCGTGTACCTGCGTAAACTCATGCTCTAGAAAGCAAGCATAGAGAAGCACGAATAGCATTGATCTGCATTTGTGGTGATGTTGACTTTTCTTCTATCTTAGTTACTTTATGCAGCTGCAGCTCTGCTGCTGCGTTCGTGTTCAGAAACGAGTCACCCATAGTAAGCCTCTCGGACCTCGGGACGGAGGCAAGTGGAATTTCGCTTTCTGTGAGCAAACTGAAACTGAAGGAGCTGCTGGTGGAGGTCACCAGCCATGGGGCTGCAGTGCAGACGAGAAAGAACGGCCAGGAAGCTGTTGCTATTCGAGCGAACAAGTCCGTAGGATTCAGAATATTAGTGCTTACAAGTTTCTGTGTTTATGCGTAAGAGCAACCCCACCACAATGGCGGGCTGTGTTTGTTGAAACACACAAACACTGAGGTGTTTATATGTTTGCTTGTGTGCTGTTGTCGCCACAGAGCACAACTCAAGGAGCTCTTGCAGCTGCTAGAGAAAGCCGGAATATGAAACAAAATATAATTCATACAAGTCGACGGCTGCGATGCTGCTGCAGTGACGGGCTGCTTTGGCTTTCGTATGAAGAGGTGACCTCTCAGCCTTGGTCTTCGTCAGCAGCTCCTGCTGATGAAAAGCCATATCTAGTACATGAGATACCCGCACCAAGTGTATCTATCTATACTGCACTGAAACTGCATACAATATGTTTCACGCCGGCCTACAGGTCTTAGCTCGCATGAGTCCATGCTGAGCAGCAGCTCGCATGTGATATCTTAGCTGCAGTGCACTTTTTCCGAAGAAAGCAAGTAGCTTTCTTCGATGATCAAAGAAGCGGGGGTTGCGGGAAAGGGGGGGGGGGGGGGGGGGGNGGGGGGGGGGGGTTCAACTCTCTTACGAGGAGCATCGCCAGCGGCACGGTGACTTCTTGAACTGGGACTGGCCTGCTACTGTGTATACTACCTCTAGATGATGTAGCAGAACCTGAACTCTGCAAGGATTGAACAGAATTTGTTGCAAGGTTTACTGTTGAGGTACTACGCGGGTTTTCAGTTGATTCAGCTCTCAGGCTGCACTGGCTAGTACATGTCTGCTATGTTAAGAAATACGCAGTTTCAGCAGAAAGTGCAAATGTAGTACGAACCCTTCCTGAGTCGGGCAGTGAAAAGCTCAGAGGGAGGACCGTGCGTACGGGGTGTGTTCACACTTGTACGATACCCCCGTGCACCCTGAGCGTGCTGTTTCCTCTTTCTTTAGGAAATGGTGGGGAGATACAAAGTCATGCAACAAAGTATCACAAAATATATGAATTTATATAGGATTATGAGCGTAGTTTCTTCTTATTCTGCGAAGGTAGCGCCGGTGCCATCGAGTCACATGAAACCCGCAACGATAGGACGGGCGTTTTCGTAGCTGCATTGCACGGTTTTTGATGGTTAAATAAAAGCAGTTTTATTTGATCATAAACGGGATACAATTCATGTAAGAGGAAAATTAATCGGCTTACTGGTGCTTCTTCACCCGGGGCTGTACTGCTCTGCCCGCTGTCGCTAGGCGGCGCGCGCGGGCTTGTGGCCAGCCATGAAGAGTGAATCTTCGGATATATTCATGAGAAACTTGGAAACTAAGCTCTAAATAACCTTCAAATTCCACAACGCAACAAACACCCTCGAGCACCACGTGTACGTGACCACCGACGACCCTTCTTCCTTCGTTGACCTTGCCAGCTGTGTTCGCGAGTCTGAATCCACAGAATTTCACTCAACAACTCTTTCAGTTCTAGCCTTTTATACACTTCATCACAGCTCCTAAACCGTCCAATTAGGCCTTTTTCTGCGGTCGTCTCGTCTTCGTGTTCCGTGAAGGACCATACCGTCGTCAGTGGCTCGATCTCGTGCGTGTGCAGCATAAGGGCACCCACCACCTTCCACAATGGCATTCTTATTTAGCGCAAAATGGGCTTGGGTGGCTTTAAGGTTTATTCTGAGGCGGAGAGAAGAGCTGAGGAATATCAGGAAAAAGGGCTTCGTCGTCGTTGTAATCGGCTGCACCAGTGGTCTCGGAATGGCAATTGTGCTTGCTGTATGTGACCGCCTGTCTAAAATCCAAAGCCATGGTGCTCATACCGTCATTATAACAGCAAAAACCGAGGAAGAAGGCGTGGTAAGCAGTTCATGATTGATTTTTTTCGGCCATTGCTTTGCATTTCGGCGCGGGGGGCTTCGTGGGGGTCACCGAGGGGCTCCAACGTCGCCACTCAACGACTGAAAAACCCTTGAAAACCCCTTACTATGAACAGAGCAGATGGCTAAGTAACTCAGTGCTGGTGCCTGTGGTTTTTTTTCTTTTTCAGCTACTTTTGGAACGCCTACGACACCCGACGGTCCGCGTGGGTTTCCATCAGCTGGATGCCAGCAACAGCAACAGCCTGACGGCATTCTCCCAGAACCTTAAAGAGAAATTTGAGCACATTGATATTTTAATGAATTGCACAAGTAGGCAAACGCGACATTCAGATGTGCTGCAGCGTCACTACCATTTCCTAAACGGCATACACGAATCCCCAGTAGCCTGAAACAAAGTTTCCTTATCGATATATGTTATCCCTCACTCTCACATATATTGCCTGCATGAGTTTTGCTCAGAAACAAGCATCTATCATGCATGATTGTGACTCTGTGTTTTTGAAATGAATACAGGCATGCTTCCTTCAGCCGCTGAATTGAGCTGGCACGGCAACACGCTTCGCATCATGAGCGCCGATTACTACGAAGCCAAACTAGTGGGTTCCAAGCGGCTCTAATACATGCACAGTTGCAGCCAGATAGAAAGCTCCAAGCCGTGAAAAGGCCGCCTAAGCACCGCATTACAGGAGAAGCGGTTGGTCGTATGCAGCGTACAGTATGCATGAAAGCTCTGGTAAACGGCGTATACTGTGTGTGTTTACCTTTTATTTTTCAGATAATACAGGCTCTTATGCCGTTGATGGCTCTTGGAGGCCGAGTCGTCATCGGTGCCTCCAGCCTTGCAGAACTTGCAATCACGTGGATGAACGAGGAAGCCTTTGCTAAGTTGTTCAGCCCAGACTCCACTGAGAAGGTGAGATCTTTTTCACTCCATTTGTAGTTCAGTTTATTAAAATTTATTCCGAGTTTAGCTTTTATTTTCGTGTTTTATGAATTTCAAGCCCCGACGTGACGTGCAAACTCTGCCTGGGTGATGCATGCATGCAGGACCTCGACGAGATTGCCGATGGCTTCATGCAGGAAATGCAAGAAGAAAGCACAGACGGCAAGCGCGTCTATGATGCTATGGCTTACCCTTTTGTTCAAGTAAGCTGACGGATGAGTGCTCAGCGGCTGTGTATACCAGCAGCGTCTACGCCTCTCCTTATATTTCTTGATTCCATGTTCTGCACTGCAGCTGCTCGGAATGCATCTAGCCTCATATAATATCTTTTTTTTTAACTTCATAGGCCACTCGAATCGCGTTGGCGCACTGCTTGGGAAACCAGCTGAACCAGAGCTCGAAAGACCCCCGAAAACGCATTACAGTTTGTTCCTTCTCTCTGGGTGAGGCGCCAGTAAACTGAAATGCTAAAAAAAAAAAACACAAGGCAGTTTGTTTCCCTCTTGTTTGCTGAGCTTTCGCCCACACACAGCGAAATTCATGAAATGTAGACCTCAGCTTTCTCTAGCAGTCATTCAATCGAGAGAAGGAAAGCTAGTCTGATACAATTATCCTTTTTTGTGAACTTCATAGACCATTCCTTTTACTTAAAACTGTAGGGGATTAAAAGTGGATATGGTTGTTGGTTTAGTTCTTAATAAAATATTGAAACTGTAAATTTGTGCTGATATCTCTCTGGCTGTGCAGGTTGGTGCCGATCGACATCAGAGAGGGATAGAGCTCCCTTCTCAGCGCTTGATGGAGCTGAGGAGGCCGTGTTCGCTGCCTTTGATGCAAGTCCAGGGGAAATACAGGGTGCATTTCTTATTGGGAGAAAAGCTGCAAAATTTGGAGAGGTATTTGCAGCAATAAATGCCGATGCTGCACGGAGCCGCCGCACCTTAGCAGAGAAAAACGACCACCACACGCACCTGAAACATTTGACGAGGAAAGCAGCAGAAGCAATCGAAGATACTCCTCAGGTAGTAACTGTAGAAGAATCTTAGAGTGAAAGAAACAAATTTTCACGTCGAGCTGCTGCTATGCAGCAACTAGAAACCAGCGCCATACAGGGAAAGACGAACACAGCAACACGCACTCCATTCAAATGGTGTATTGTTTGCTGCTGTTGTAGCAGATTGAATGAACTGCTAACCCTTCACGCTTTACATCTTTAGATTATTTAAAAGACCCGAAACAACTGCACATGCAGAAACTCTGTTTCATACTTTGGCCGCCAGGCGCCCTCTCAGTAGAGTTTTACAGCTGATGAAGCTGGGGGGGTTCTTGCTCCCCCTGAGAGTGAAATTTAATTCAGAAAACGGCTATGAGTTTCGCTTTTAATTGCTGTAGAAAGCAGCTAACCTTTTTTTGGTATTTATATATATGTACAGTTGTCAATCAACATGCGTAACGTTTGAGGTAAGCCACTCTGGGAGAGTGCAGTAGTTGCTTTACATAAAGAAAGAGAAAGAAGTTGTATAGGCGAGGAAACAGGCATTTGTGAATGCTTAGAGAGTGGAAAGCTTTGTAGGAAAGGCTTAGTATACTCAAGCTGCACTGCTATCAGGCAACGTGTAGCCAATACAAGAAAGGCATAGAACGAATACGAACGAAATAGAATTAAGGTTTCCCCCGCCATACGTTTCAGCATTTAAACTGCAGAGGAGAGATGTAGTACCTCGTCGATATGAGTTTCCTCTTCATCTTATTTTTAACTTATTTCTGAGTTTTTCTAGCAACAACGATTGTGATAGTAACTCCTGGATTGCACCATGAACGAGACAGAAAGAGATACATGATAGTGACAGCAAAGGCGAATTCAGCTCATAGCCAATGATATAGAAGCATCTATACGCAGCACAGTGCTTGTAGGAGAAGTTTACCTACTACCTACTTACTAACACTAACTGGCTCCTGGTGAGGGTTTCCATACAAACAAACCCTACATTTGAGGGTTTATCGTGTGTATTCAATAAATAAAAAAGCAATACACAAGAAATAATCTATCAAGCTCTCGCCTACGCCAAGTGGAGAGAAAGCTACTTCTTCATACAGCTTCACTAGCAGTAACCCATTAAACAAAAAAAGGTGATAGCGCCATTCTGTGCAGTTGCAGCTCGCTAGAAAGAAGGGTATTTTGGTGTATAAATTATAATTATTTCTTCATTTACACCTGGGAGATTTATAGTTAAAGTTTTTTCTCCTGCTGTTTCCTCCTCTGCCTTTCTCCACTGGCGCTGGCGAGTGGTAGCGAAACCTAATTCATATTCATACCCAGGCAGCTTATATTTCCTCAGCCTTTTAGCTCCCCTTTGAGCCCCTGATCATGTGTGAATTTTTAGCATTTATGTTTATATATATTGGGGGTAAACTGGAGCCATGTGCTCGGTATTTGAGAGTATGAGTGGTGGTGCTTATATTAACTGCATATTAGGTACAGAGCGACTGTCAGCGCATAGAGGAAAGGTTCAGCATATTCATGAATAAACAGCAGAAAACAGATCAGAAGATTCATGCAAATTTCCAGTGTATGTGCACCTTGTTCGCTTTCACTGACCTTCCGCTCGGTGGCCAGAGGACCAGGAGGCTTGAATGAAGAACCATTGAGTGAAACTATGGCAGCAAAAGTTTTCATAGGATTAAAGAGCATGAATTGCTTTCATAAAAAGTGTTTTTAATGCATTAAATTCCTACTATACGGCCTATGTTGTGCTGGTGTTCTGAGCGGAGCTCGCCGTACCCAGGAGTTGCAGGGGTGATGAGTCTGCGTGCACCCATGAGCTTTTCTCTACGTTTTAAATTTAGCTGGAATGATTCTAATGAGAAAAAAACATTAAAATATTCTTGAATTGTTATTTCCAACTCTGTCACAGTGGTTTCTCTGCATGCACTCAGGCAGGCGCCGCTGGTAGAGAGGCCCGGGCCTGGGTCGTCCGCTGCGGTTGCCGTGAGGGTCTATGCATGTTTCAGAGAAGAATATTTGTTTTTTTGAATTTTTCATAGCTTTTGCCTTTTCTATTTCACCTCAATTCAACTCATGAACTCTCACAAGAAGCAGCAGCAGCTCAGTGTTCCACACCCAGCACTCGTCAGCAGCTCCCGCTGCAAGCAGCAGAAAAGGATAACCTTTTGTGAACAGCTCTTGTCAAGAATGAATCTAAAAACCATCGATGCATGCATCTGATTCACAGTCACCAACTGCATGCAGCTCAACAGCAACGCAGCAGGACTTCATTCCCCTTATACGCGTCACCGCAGGAATACGAATATTTTCACAAGAGGAAAGCTGCAGCAGCATTGGCTTCAGCTGTATCTACCAGCCCCATCCGCCTTGATAGAAACATTGCATGCGTATATCACCTCAACGCATCTTTCTTACTAAACGCACTGCTGCTGCAGCTGTTGCTGCTGCTGCTGCTGCTGCAGCAGGCTCATCTGCTGCCAGCTTCAGCTGTATGTACACATGAAACTTAACGAGACACTGGGATACCCATGATCATGTTCTTTTCATTGAAAAAATTAATCTTTTGAGGGAGAACACGCTCCCCGCTACACTCTCTGAACTTTCCTTGTGGTAGCAACCACAGCTGCAGCAGCAGCATCAGCAGCACCAGAGGAATCAGCAGCAACAGCCGCAGCAGCAGCAGCAGCAGCAGCAGCAGGAGTATCTCGATACAGGCGTTTATAAACTTCTTACATTCAGGCGGCTGCTGGGGTTTGTTTGTTGGCTTTCATCCCCCCAACTGTTGCTGCAGCAAAAAGGGAACTGCCGCCAGCATGTGGATTGCTGCGCTGCATTCGAGGGTCTTACAAGCATCAGCAGCAGCAAAAGCAGCAGCAGCAGCAGCAGCAACAGCAGCAGCGTCAGCCCCAGCAGCAGCAGCAATCAGGAATATCGTCAGCAGCAGCAGCAGCAGCAGCAACAGCAACAGCAGCAGCAGCAAGAAAAGCCCCACTACTATCCTGCTGTCTTTTCCTGCATGCATCCTTTTCCGTTTTCTTTGACTTTTCTGCGTTTTCTTCTTTTTTGTTAAAAAAACAAAATTTATTGTATTTGTTTGTTTCTTTGTTTTCTTATGGTTATAGTTGAATCGAGTTTATATTTATTATTTTAATTAGGGGATAGATATTCTTGTTTTGTTTGTTTTTATTGAGTTGTTTATATTTATTATTTTCTTTATAAACTTGCATGCAGCCTGTTGCTGCTGCTTTTTCTGTGTTTCTTTTGGCCTTTTCTTTTTGACGTTTCAGTGTATCTACAGCAGCATAGAGTATAATAAATAAAAATAATAAATAAAAAAAATATAAATTATTATTTATGGAGCGGAGAGAAGATACGGGGCCCTCTGGGGGCCCCTCTGATTCCTTTTCTGTTGATAGCCGTGACGATACCCCTCGTTCTACAGATGGGGGGGAACAGCACCGCAGCAGCAGCAGCAGCAGCAGCAGCAGCAGCAGCAGCAGCAGCAGCAGCAAATCAACAGAAAGATTACAAAAAGCTAAACAACAATTAAAACTAGGAAGAGATAAAATAATACATTCATTAAGTGCAACAAAAAAACCTAAATCACAACCAAGAAGAGTAGAGGGTGATGATGATGATTCTGCTGCTGCAGCAGCAGCAGCAGCAGCAGCAGCAGAAGGAACAGGACCAAATACAGCTTTCTTTTCTCCTCCTTCTTTTCAACTTACACAAATTATACATGATAGCCATTGCTTTATACCGAGACAGGGGCATGCATGCGTTGCTGGCGGCGGTGATGTTCTTATATTTGGCGGTGTAGATGCAGACGGACAGTTTCTTAATGATTTCATTCGATATATACCAGGGCTTAATGCTTTTGAGCCCATGAAGGTATTTTATTTTATTTTATTTTATTTTATTTTATTTTATTTTATTTTATTTTATTTTATTTTATTTTATTTATATTTGTATAATAATAATAATAATAAGGGTTTAGGGTTTAGGGTTTATATATATATGATTTCATTCGCTATATACCAGGGCTTAATGCTTTTGAGCCCATGAAGGTATTTTATTTTATTTTATTTTATTTTATTTTATTTTATTTATATTTGTATAATATATTTTTTTTATTTATGTTTATATACATACATATAAAAGGGTTTAGGGTTTAGGGTTTATATATATATGATTTCATTCGCTATATACCAGGGCTTAATGCTTTTGAACCCATGAAGGCATTTTATTTTATTTTATTTTATTTTATTTTATTTTATTTTATTTTATTTATATTTGTATAATATATTTTTTTTATTTGTATTTATTTACATAAATATAAAAGGGTTTATGGTTTAGGGGTTATATATTATTTTTTCATTAATATAATTATGTATGACGGTATTTGTATTATATTTTTTATTTATTTATATTTATATACATAAATATAATATGGGAAGTATATTAATATTTAAGTATATGACTATTATATATATATATATATATATATATATA